ATGCAACTAAAGAGGTAGCAATTGTAAAAACCAAAACAACAGGATTCCATATGTACACTTAAGTATAAAGCGCAAAATGATAGTCGCGACTGAATTGTACGATATACATTTATATATATATGTGTGTATATATATATATATTTAGTTTATTTCACACAGTCCTGATAAAGAATTACAGGTAGATTGGGAATCATTTACAGTTCCATAGTATATGGTGTGGCCACATAGCTTCTGATGCAAACAACATACGGTGTGTAAAGTGTACACATTTCTAATCAACCCACCCCGCCATTCACACAATGGATTTTCAAAGCTAATACTAGATTCAGCTACGTAGGAAAGCCTCGAGAATGCTAGGATACAGCGTTGGGTGTCGTACAACACTGTAGGTCACAATGGGACAAGCTAAACTACTTTAATTTTCAATCTAGTATTTCTAGTCTACCTGCATTATTGCATTTATACGCATTTTAAAATTCAAATAAAAGAGAATACGATATGGGAAAGGAACAAATTCTTTGCTGTTTTAGGAGCTGAACTGCAGCCCATACAAAGTGTCCATAGAAGCAGAGGCAAGATTATAAATTTGAAAAGATAAAAAATAATTTTCTAGCTCATTGTGTTGGTAGGTTTCCATTTCCCTTTGGGAAAAGTTATCTCCAACAGCTGACTCCAAAACAAAACAAAAAAGAAACCCGAATTTATATGTTATCCACAGGCCTGTGTGTGTTACAGTGATAACTGGGTCTGTTCATCAAGGAAAAAAATCAAGATGTCAATTGACAAATTCCACTTTAAAAGATTATCTTGGGCCCCATCAGACCCTTCAGAAATAATTCACTGTTTTCATAATGACCTTGTAATGGAGTTTATCTGGCATACTTTTGTCGTTTTATTCAGGTGGTCCATAAAGCAGATAGTGAATGTCCAGATTGAATAAACTAGCATTTCTCTTTTGCAAAAAGTATGGTTTAAGAAAAGACATAGAAATTAAAACAGGGGTGGGAGCTTACCTCAAAGTTACATTTATGAATAAATGTGCATGTTTAGACAGAAAAAATGGCCATCTGGGGAATGCTGGGAATCACAGGACTGTTTTGTATCTTAACAGGCATAGGCGTGTGCTCTACATTGCTTACAAAAGGGCTTCTGAGGTGATCTTACATTCTCCTCACTCTCTTGAAAGTTTGAAGCTACAGTGGTAGAAACACTGACAAATTATAAGATTGGAATTTATTGGCGAAAATTCAAAAGCAGCTTCTGACAACTAATCATTGTACCAAGTATTCCTCACCCATCCTACACAGTGATCCATAATTACGGAATTGCTACGATGAGCGTTACAATGCTGTTTCATGGCCTTCCATTCTTCACTGTAATGGAAAGCTGCAGCAAGGTTATTTTTCGAAAGAGGAAACGGCTTTGACCTTGCACATGGCTCCTGATATATACAAATGCGATTAACACAGGGAAGGAGTCAGAAGAAATTTTGTGTATGTGTGTTCACAAACATGCACACACACACACCAGTCACTGCAGAATTTACATTCACGTTAGAAGCAGAAAACAGTCGTGCGCACAAAAGTATGTTGGAGTCAAAGTAAAATGAAGGCAGAATGTGGGAAGTTCCATTGTGTGGAGAAGCTGAAGTGGACCATCCACGGTGCACCGCAGCCAAGTGCATTCAGGAAGAGAGGCGTGAGCAAGAAGAGTGCCTTCTGCGGAATGAGAGAATGGGAGCAGCGAAGACTTGCGATCGGGAAAGAAGGGCAGAGTCAGAGCTTTTGGAATGCAGCAGCAATGAACTCTGGTTTTCCGGTTTGCCTGCTTTGAGATACTCCACATTTGAAAAAAACTGGTTTGCTTGCTTTTAGACTCACAACTGAACATGACCTCAATCACATGTTTTTTACCTTGATTTTTTCTTCCGCGTGTGTGATGTGCCTAAAGCAGGTCCCCAAGCCACAAACTCCAACAAAAATGGCTGGGGAGTGTGGATGGAGCACCGGAACCCTCTCCTCTCTGCTAGTGTTTGACCTCTACATTTCTCTCACTCACATGCATGTGCGTGCACACAGATATACACAGTGCAATTAGAGCATTTCCCCCTTAACATATGTAATAGCATTTTTATATCTGTGTCCTTTTGAAATACTGATTCTGTTGCATGTATTCAAGTCATTCCAATATGTTCCGAGTGGAAGATTCCCCACTTACCTGAATCAGCCTGCTATATTCCTGGCAAATCTTTCCCACATGTAATGGGTGTCTATGGATGAAAGAATCCCTTGAACAGGCATGAGTGTTTCTGAATAGGGAACTACAAGCTTGCCCTTCTTCGAGATGAAATGCAAACATTGGGTGTCATACCTTGTGTAAAGCCAGAAATCAGCCCATCACTCTTTTGCCCGAAACAGGTATCTTCTATTTCCTTTGATTTTTTTGTACATAGACCTGAGGCACTAGAAAGGGCAGAGTAGTTTTACCGCACAGGAGAGGACACGCAACAGCTAATATAGCTTCACTCATGCAACATGGATTGGGACCCTTAATTCTAATCTACCATTGGATCCAAATACTTCAAATGCAGTGCTTTTGCTGTACTCAAATGCAGTGCATTTTTCAGTACAGTGGTACACAGATCTACTAGCAAACAGTGATCCTCGGAACAAAACGGAGCTACCAAAGCAAGAATTCGGCACTGCAAGGTGATGCAAGTTTGTAGTCCTTTTGGACTTCAATGGAATCAGGGCAGCGCTTTGTATCTAGGAAGGCTGCACTGTATGTTACCAGAAAGCACTCAAAGAAGATGTGGAAGTGACTTACACTTCCATCTTAATTCAGAAAGGAGAAACCTGTGGCTCTGAACCACAGGCAGACAAGTCAGAGGTCCACCTGTGAGAACAGCTGCCACATCCTTGTAGCAAACCCACATGCACAGAGGAAGTGCAATATAATCCTACTTGTGCTCTTTGCACATCCTGCTAATCCATAAGATCACAATATATACCAATAGCTAAAAGAGCAGGTTACAAATAAATCAGCATGCTCTACTCAATAAACGCCTATGCCAAGGCTACTTTCCCAAATTCCATGAATTGCAAACAGCCATTTGATGTAGGAAGAAGAGTAAAGCCTCTGGCATATGCAAGGAAAATGTACAGAAGTTTCTGTGACTGTATATTCAAAGAAGTACAAATCCAGCTACTTGTCACATCTTCCACTCTCTGCCACCAGCTCCCCCTCCCCCTCCCCAAAGGCTAGCATGCATTGCCTGCACCTGGTGGCATCCACTCACACCTGACTGGATCAGACTCTGCGAAGTGAACGTCCCCTCGATCTCTTGAGGGTATGTTCCATGTCACTCCGTGGGACGTACAGCTGACCAGACTTGCATGGGAGCTCACCGTGAGGGCACCAGCTTGAAGCAGAGTTTGATACTTTGACTGGGAGTCCCAAGTACTAAACTCTGCTCCACCACGAAACCCACTGAGTGATTTCGGTCCAGTCACACCAGCTCAGAGAATTGTTGGGAGGATCAAGTGCGAAGGGGGCAGAACATCTGAGGTTGGAGGAAGAGCGGGTACAATTGTCAAGAATAAGAAGATGAACTGGTTAACAATACTCTGGCTGTTCTTTTCCCCGAGCAAAGTTGGGAAAAGACAAACTTGAAATGAAGATATAATACTAGTATTATAATTCCATTGAGTCTAAAGCAATCAACAGCTCCCAAAAAGAAACAGCCTCATGTCTGTTATATTATTTGTTACTAGACATGACTATGGTTAAAATGGTAGCCTGGGTACAGCCTTGTGGACTTAGGGAAATATTTGAACTGGATCTTGTACAAGTCATGCTGTGGCCAGTTTTAAGGACCAGGTCAATATATCTTCTCAATGCCCAACTACACTGCAGCCAAAAGCCACCAATGAAGCATGGCAGCCTTCAGATAATTAAAAGGGGCTGTGCAAATCAGGATGCCGTGTGTGCCCATTTGCTCATCCTCTTGAGTGTACAAACATCTGTGCATTGTCGGAGATGCCAGCTGAGACACTCGCACGGTAGTGGATACCAGCAGAACTAATGCTAGCCTCTGCAAAGACTACATTTCCATAAGCAGCAGCTTCAGTGAGTTTGGAAGAAAGCCAAAGGCGCATTGTTCCACTCAGGGTGATACCGACATAATGGGGATCAATGCCTTGTTGCAGTGAAATAGACTGAAGATATAGGCATGGATTGTAGAGGAAACCCCTATCGCCAATCTGCTCGAGTCCTGCATCAGCCTAGCCATGGCCACCAGTGCCGTAGCAGCAGCAAAGCAAGGGCTGTCCATGGAACCTTCTGTTATGCCAAGAGTCGACTGAGGGCAGAATTTGGGAAGTGCCCCAAACTATCATTTTAAACTATTATTCTAAAAGGGTCTCTTTAGAAGCACTGCTTTTTAGCTCCTCAAAGGATTATACATTCATCAGCAGGCCATTCTTTTATTGGAAGGAAACCATGGTGTTGGGTGCTGGGTGATGGAATGCAAGTACCACAAAACATGGACACTTTGTGTGAATGCAGGTGTGCAAAAAAATGGTTGCCTTTTGCTTTTTGTACAAAGAATGCAGGTTTTGTAGCCTTTCGAAGACTTCAGTGAACTGCAATATATACACGATATTCTCAAATAAGGCAGGGTTAGGAAAGCTTGTATACATACACACAAGAATACATGTGGGGCAGGTTCTGGAGAGTGATCCAAGACAGCAGGATACTGCAGTACCAAGCAATGACTGTCAGTGAACGATTCCTATATAGACCTAATCTATGATGTCACAGCCATAAATACAAGAGAGAAAGAGGGAGGGAGGGAGTTGCTCTTCCAGGTGATGAATGTAGCACTGCCACTATCACCAATGCATCCTAGATTCAGGAAACGAAAAGTGCAAAACCCTACTACGCACATTAATTTCTGAGCAAGTCCATACTGGGATGAAAACTTGGTCACTCATATATATTTATCCCAACCTATAGAAAAAATAAAGAGCTTTGCAAAGACTAGACCAATCTAATTAGTTTCTTTTCTTGTCTTTTGTTAGGTAAAGACTCGTCTAATGATCATGACACCAGTGCAATCCGGTCATTCATACATCATAATCTATGTGCCAATGGCCTAGAGTTCTTGTGGTCATGAAAAGATCTTTGGTAGACATGTCAAACAAAGGTGTTTAATTGCTTCTTCCCCCTCTCAAAGTCCATCTTTAGTTATTTCAAGAAGGTCACCAATGAAGCAAGGCTAACTCAAGACACGGGGAATTTTCTCTCTTCTTAAATACCCAGTTCAAAGTATAATGGGCAGGGGAGTCCCAACAAGTCATTTTCCTTTATTTCTCTACACAGTTTCCAGTGAAATAAATGGGATTAAACCATCCCCCTGGCACCTCTGTATTAAAGTTGCAAAATATGAGCAAGTGGAAGACTATCCATCCACTTCAGTTCCTTACAGTGGAGCAGGATATTCCACATTCACATTTCCTAATCCATAATCCAGGTGCTGGTTGATCACAAGCCAAGAGAAAGAAAAAAGAAGGACCATCATTCCAAGAAAAAGAAAGCAAACCCATAAGCTACTTATTCATGCAACTGCTTCTTACTTTCACCTTGCACTCCAGTCATAACAAAGATAGGACAACCTTGCCTGGAGAAGCACCAGCATTCATCCAAAATCCATACGCCTAGAAGGGCTCATTGACTTCCACAGACACTGAAGCATATTGATTTAAATATCTGGAGATGCAAAATGCTCCATCAAGGGTATTTGCATTCTAGAAGGGAGGGTTGCCAGGCCAGTGCCAGATGCTTTGTGTTGCAGTTGGTGTGGACTGAAATGTTGCAGACAGAGGGCTCTTACTCTTGGCCACTCAAGTCATCGACTATTCTAAGTCGCCATGCTGGTAGTCACCAGAGGGCCACACTGCATGACGACAAGCGCCAGTGTGTTATCTTATGGGCTTCAGACTATGCTGTAGGTCGCTGTAGGCCATGCTTGCTTCTTGAATTTCAAGAGCTGCACTTGCTCCAATTTCAACCCTGTGGCTTAAATGAGAATATGCTCTGATAGGGGTGGACAAGCATTTGGATGCCACATTCCCCTTGGATTAGAAAAATGCTGCCTGCTGCCTCCTGATCAATCAAACAGCCTCACTGTGCTACAACAGGGGTGATAAGAGGAGGCCCTGCACATGGGAGATTCTTCCTCCATCTGCTCTCCTACGACCCGAATGGGCTCTGAATGCAACGCCAGGATGAAGTTTAGACATCTGGACAAAAGGTGGGCATGGGAGATACGGAAAGGAAACACAGCAATTGCTTACACAGACCGGAAGAAGCCGTCTACACACAGCAGTGCAAGCCGAATTATATTACATGAAAGAGCACGAGTGCACTGAGTGCCACACCAGGTCAACACTGGCACATCATCTTGAACAAAACAGTGGCCATGGTTGCAGTTTTACTTATCTAGCTTGCTCTCTCTATATATACTGTATATTTATAGGTATGTATAGAGCTAACAGCATGCATTTTTCTCCAAAGGAACTGTACAGAGCCCAGGGAATCTCTGTTTCCTCGGCGGTTCTTGGGGTTAATTTTTCAAATTATTTTTTTCGGGCTAGGAGAGCCATGCCCACAATCACAGCTATGGCAGCCACCGCTGCCCCTCCTATGATGAGCAGGGGCTTCATGTTCTCAAAGATGCTGCTGCCAGGGGACTCCTCGGCACTGTTCCCTTTGTGCTCCGAGTCAGCCGAGGGCACGGCGGCCTCAGGACCCTCCGTGGCGGCCGCTGCGGGGCTCGGCTTTATGTTGCTGTGGTCGTTCAGCATGGCCGCCTCGCTCGCTGCTGTGGCCGCCTTTTTGGCCGGGGTGGTGGCAGCAGCAGGCGGCAGCTGCTCCTTAGCGGGGGTGTCTTTTTTGTCAGCCGCTGTGGCAGGCCCAGAGTTAGGCTTCTCCAGCTTGCCCGAGCCGGTGGTCTTGGCCTCGGGCTTGTTTCCACTTCGGCCGCTTCCTTTGGACTCCATGCTGCTCACGGCTGCGACAGATGCCAGCAACTCCTGCCCGCAGGTGAAACCAAGCCGGGGGTGGTGAAGCAGGCAGAAAGCTCTTCGGCGGGGCCTTCACAGGCCAGTGCCCCACTGGCTTGGCTCGGTGCAGCTGTTCTGTCTCAAGCAATATTCCACCTGGACATGTTCCAGAACCTGCGAGAAGGAACAGAAATAAACATGTTCTGATGCTAGTGGACAAAGCCCTGAACCACTTGGGACCAGGACACCTGAGGCGGCACCTTCTCCATTCCCGACCTGCCTAGTCACCAAGGGCATCGGGGACATTCTCCCAGTGGCTGCACCAGGAACCCAAGGCCCAACTGGAATCCTCCAGAAGAACCTTCAGTGTGGCAGCCTCATTCCTGCAGAATTCCCTGTCTCTGGGTTCAACCTTGTTCTAATGCCACCTTGTTTTTAATGCACTGTGTTTATTATTGTGTCTGTTTGAACTGTTTACTGTTCCAGAATCTGCCCAAGTATGGAACAGTATGCAAATGTTGTAAATAAATCAATGAAGGTCATGATAACCATCTGCATCTTTCCATATCTGGGGAGCACCTTTAGCACAAACATGCATTTGAGGACCCCATCTATCTATCTATCTATCTATCTATCTATCTATCTATCTATCTATTAGTATAGCAATTGTGCTGCAGTTGCGGTCCAGCCTAGATCAGGCTGCATTGCTGTTGTGGATCTAGATGTACCAACTACTGGTTGATGTTTGAGAGTGCCAGTTGCAACGAGAGATGCTCTATTTGGTAACTTCCAAGAAAATATAGTTCCAAGTTGCTGCTAGTACCACTATTAGTAATACTGAATCATGCTATCAAGTCGGACTAGGACTTTACCAAGCGAACTCTGCTTTGAAAAGTGCCGTGCAAGCAAAAGTCTCCAAGAAAGGGAGGAAATAAGAAGCAGGACCAAGAGAAGGGCACCTGACAGTAAGTTGCTGTCATGCCAGTTGCTCCACGGAGAACAAACACAACAACAGAGTCGGGTCTTTGGGCAAATTTCTCTCACCTGCCTCAAGCCCTCACCCAAAAATGGGCCTCAATCCCCTGTGTTACATTGTCTGTAACCCTGGCCCTGCTGCAAATATAATATTAGACAAGCCTGGCAGGTTCAAAACTGTAATTGAAGTTTTTCAGATGTTTATTACTACCATACATATGAGATTGACATATGCATACTCCTTGAACTAGAGCATGGAACTAATAGTGACAATGAAATTGGCAGGCCCCCAACAGCCTCCACAGGAGAGGGCTGAAATCTGTGGAAAGAGATGGGCAGCTATCTGGATATCGGCTGCCATTCTTTGGGCTGCTAAAATTATTAGTGTATCAACAGTTTTCAGTCGCTTTGGATTTTCCCTTGGATTTAAACAATGGCAACACCCAACATGGCTCTCCACTAATTTAGTCCCAAAGCAGTGGGCACTATCTGCACAATGAAATCAGCAGGGATACAACTGCCCATTGGATACTGCCAAGGCAAGCTATCGCCTTTAAATTTTTACAAGTATTCTGCTAAAATATCTAGATAGCATTTAAAGGTGTAAGCATATACATGTTTAGACAGTTAAAAGTCCTATATGCTAAGGTTTGTACCCTAAACTACATGGAGTGTCTTGATTCCCCCCCCCCCCCCGAAATATTTCAAATCTAATTCTGGCACTATATTTTATTTGCTTTTTGTTATTTACTAAGTGCAAAAAAAAATGAAGGTGCTAATTTAGATCTCTCTAGGGCAGGAGTGAAAACCTCGTGGCCTTCCAGATGCTTTCTCCTACAATTCCCATCAGCCCCAGCAGGAATAGCCCTAGTCAATTCTTCCCATGTGTAGGGAATACTGCGCTGCCTGGAGCAATGCCTCACTCAGTACAGGAGGTCTCCCAATGCATTCTCCAGTGTGCATTCTTAGATTTGCAACCCATTTTAGCAGCTCTTGATCCTGGAAGTCTACAAGATTTGTAGTCTACAGGATTCATGCGCTCCCCATGTGCACAAATGGATAAAATTGGCTTATTTCCATGGCACATGCAAAGCAACTTCCAAACGTCATTGAGATGATGGAATTGAGCATCTAACTTTGGCAAGAGTATACAGAGCTCAGGGTTAAGAAGGTTACATGGTAAGCATTTCCTCAGCCTCCACGCTAGTTCCAGTGCTGGCCATGCAAAGCTCTCAGCAAGGAGGCATGGCCAAAGACTTTTGCTGCCTGCAGTGCAAGTCAAATAGCTCCCACCCCTCCCTCCCATGCACTGAAGCTGACAGGCCTAGTGGCGGAATCTTACTTCCTCACAGCATCTCCCCACACACCTGAGCCAGCATGCAAGCTTAGTAGGCTTAACCACCTCCTTTCACAGCTCACCACACTGTCTGGCCCATATTGCTGCCTGCTCAGAGCCACACTACCATTGAAGAGGTGCTGACACCAACGCGGGATGAATGCGCAGGTTGGCCATGTGCTGAGAGAAAGCGTGAAGGAGGCAGCCAGCCAGTCCAAGCCAGCACTCTCCTACTGGGCAACACGAGAGCAGCTGGGGGGCTCAGGAGGAGCGGCTGGGTGTGGGGGCAGAGAACTGCCACCCCTGCACCTCGGGGCAAGCTCCTCCATTCTGCCTGATGGCAGGGCTGGTCTTGCTGGACAGTGTTCATTCCCCTGACTTAAAACGTCTCTGTTTAGAATTTCTCAGATGTATTTATTTATTACTCTGAAGCTCGCTGCTTTCTGAACGAGTCAAACCCAAAGGAAGGTGCTGCCTTTTGGGAAGGCCAGGATAGCCATCGGCATTCTAACTCCCCCCAAAATGTATCTGTTGAAAGCACCAGCTGGAATTCTTCAAAGACTACTGGGTAAAATATCTAGCTTCCATCCAGGCATTTCTTCTGTTCTTCAAAAAGAGTGCCTATGAAAGATCAATTAACACGAGTTAATTGTGCTGGAGGGTGTCTGGAGAACGCATTGTCTCACACATTTTAAAATATGTATTTGGATCTCTGGGATTGTAGGGAAGAAATGTAGGCTATACAGAAAGGTTGACTGCTGTGGGAAATGAATGTTGTTAGTGGTGAAGTCGTGTCCGACCCATCGCGACCCCATGGACAACATTCCTCCAGGCCTTCCTGTCCTCCACCATCCCCCAGAGTCCACTCAAGCTCACACCAACTGCTTCAGTGACTCCATCTAGCCACCTCATTCTCTGCCGTCCCCTTCTTCTTTTGCCATCTATTGTTCCCAGCATTAGGCTCTTCTCCACGGAGTCCTTCCTTCTCATTAGGTGGCCAAAGTATTTGAGTTTCATCTTCAGGATCTGGCCTTCTAAGGAGCAGTCAGGGTTGATCTCCCCTAGGACTGACTGGTTGGATCGCCTTGCTGTCCAAGGGACTCGCAGGAGTCTCCGCCAGCACCACAATTCAAAGGCCTCAATTCTTCGGCGCTCAGCCTTCCTTATGGTCCAGCTTTCACAGCCATACATTGCAACTGGGAAAACCATAGCCTTGACTATACGCACTTTTTTTGGCAGGGTGATGTCTCTGCTTTTTAGTATGCTGTCTAGATTTGCCATAGCTTTCCTCCTCAGGAGCAAGCGTCTTTTAATTTCTTGGCTGCAGTCCCCATCTGCGGTGATCTTGGGAGCCCAGAAAAATAAAATCTGTCACTACCTCCATTTCTTCCCCATCTATTTGCCAGGAAGTGAGAGGACTAGATGCCATGATCTTAGTTTTCTTAATGTTTAGTTGGGAAATGAATAGGAGCCCAGTAAGCAGCTAGTTCTTCTACAGAAGATCAGTCAGGGCAAAGCTAACATGCCACAACATGAAACAAGAAGCAGCTCTCAGAAGGATCTCTTGACCAGATAAGTGCAGGATTTTCAGAGTCCTGTGCAGAGCTTTTGTGCCAGCAAAGTTACACATAGGTCCATTAAGACATCCTGCTAAAAATGGGAATCTCCTGATAGTCCTCCCCCACCACCATCTTTTGATGTTCTTTCATTCTGAGATGAAACCAGTAGAGAAAAAGTTGTTTATTTATTCTTGCCATCCACAGTGATTTATCTGACAGCAAAATGTCAATTCCATGTTTATCTAAATTCTCTCTAGATAAGGAAGGACACAAGAATAAAACCAGCTCTGCTCTTTGTTAACTATGCCAAACCAAGGCTGGATTGTCAAAGGACCCCCATTTTAGCCATCTCACAATGCATGACTACAACTAAACATTTTTCCAACCCTTGGCAGGTGTGTGAAGATCTATGCCTACTGCCCAGATCTTTTAATTTTTGACCAGAGGTGATGGCTACAACCGCAGAACCTGCGTCTGTTCTTCAAAAGACATTTGAAGCTGTTTGACACTCTTACTAGCTCTTAAAAGGGAGGCGGGAGGGCAGGCAGTCTTGTGTCCCCACCACGCAGCAAGTCGCACATGGACAGTTTTCCTCTCCTCCCACTACACATATGGTCCGTGCTCAGCCAGAAGTACAAATAAGGATGCAACCCTATATATGCTTAGATAGCACATGTCCTACAGCTCCCAGCATGCCCCCTGCAGGCAGGGCTGGCTGCAGCCTGCCGGAAGTGGCAGGACTTATCTTCTGTCCAAACATCCAGGAGGTTGCAGCCTAAGCTTTCTCTCACAGCCCCTGCTTTTTCCCAGTGATCTGCATTCATGGCCCTCTCCTAGCTACAGACTGGTCTTTAAATGGCTGCATGGGCTCTGCAATCCACTCAGAAGTTCAGAAGGACCTGTTACAATAGTGTGGAGGTTTTCAGACTGTGGCCCCTGCTGAGCTTTCAGTGGTTCCGGACAGCTGGAGCGCCAACAGCTGTATTGGTGTGTTGGCATTTGCTTCTTTTTTAAAGCCTGGTTGAGAAGCTGCAGTTTCGAGTGAGCATGATAAGGGGAGGCTACTCAATCGTTCCAGAGTCTGCTCCTCCAGCTGAGAGCTGCATGGTGAAAAAAGCAACTGAAAAGAGCAATTTTGAGCAGAAAACCAGCTGGTAGGAGAAGGGTTAAATGGCCCTCTTTCCTCTTTTTCTGCTCAGATTTGCAAGGTCCTAACTCCACACAGCATTCAATACACACAACCCTCTTGGGGCTCCTTACACACCTTTGTGTGTAATACCTACTTTGCCCTGTAGAACACAATG